TACCTAAACACACCAAGAAACAAAGATATCTCGGCAGAAAAAACACAGAAGTTTCTTTAAAAAAATACATAACTGCAAACATACAACCAATATACCTCCACTTTAACATTGACTTGTTCTGTGTTGGCTGAAAATATACCGTCTCCTTCCCCGTCAGAGACGAAATGCCACCTTGTGCTGTCCATCTTCAACATCAAAATGTAATAAAACAGTAAACCCTAGCTTTCTACTGCTTAAATAGTAGCATTCGCGCGCTCTGATTTTTAAAGAAGATTATCACGCGGTTATACTTAATTTACGGCTCCGTGACTGCGAAGGGTTCTCTCAGATTACAACGAGGTTACAAACCCGGGAAACTTTGCTTTAAATGTTACAGAAACGTTACACGGAAGGTACAGTTGGTAGGGCGGGGTGTAGAGGTTACCAGGGAGTTACACAGCCTCGGTACAGCATGCAGCGGAGTTACTGTGTCGGTTACAGCTCAGTTATAGCTCTAGGTTACAACGCGCGGTATGAACTCTCGGTTACAAATCAGTTATAGCTCGTTTATTTTTCTCGGTTACATGACGCTATGTTACGTCTTCGTTACAGCGAGGTTATAAACACGGTTCATTCGTTTTGAGGTTACTGGAAGGTTACAAGCCTACTATCCGAGCGGTACCGCGGTAATGGCCCTCTCGGTTATAAATCCTGTACCTCTCAGTTATAACTCGGTTATAATCGAGCGGGCCGGGTCGACGGGTCGCGTCTGAATGAATGCGGTGGGACCGACTGTGCTGATTTGTCAATAGCCCGTTGGAGGACGCATGTATCGCTGCGTACGTCTTATGTACGCAAATTTTTTCCGTAGAGGTTACCAGGGAGTTACATAGCCTCGGTACAGCATGCAGCGGAGTTACTGTGTCGCTCGACGGGTCGCGTCTCAATGAATGTGGTGGGACCGACTGGGCTGATTTGTCAATAGCCCGTTGGAGGAGCTGCGTACGCAAATTTTTTCGGCAAACTTTTTCCCTATACCAAACCCCTGACCCTGCTATCTCAGATCGGGAAAAAATTTGCGTACATAAGACGTACGCAGAGTTGCGTACGTCTGTAACCTGCAAACAGGTTACAGGGAGGATTTTAGGAGGATATAACCGCGTTATTCCCCCTGTAACCTCCCTGTAACCTACCTGTACCTTCGAGTCAGTTTCGCGCTTTTGTTTTCATATATAGGTAGGTTACATCCCTGTAACCTACCTGTACCTTCGAGTCAGCCATATATCGCTGCTTACGTCTTATATACGCAAATTTTTTCCCTATACCAAACCCCTGACCCTGCTATCTCAGATCTTACGCAACTGAGTACGTCTTATGTACGCAACCAGCAACTTGAGTTTCGCCGCCTGAAGGACGTCAGAGAGCAATGACGAACTCGACCAGCAACTTGAGTTTCCCCGCCTGAAGGACGTCAGAGAGCAATGACGAACTCGATAAAATCTCAAACCTGAAATTTCCCTCTACCCCCACTCTCCTGAAAGCTTTCGGCTTTGCTGCCGCCAATGGCAGGCTTTGCTCTCGCTTCTTCGAAGTCTCGATGGGCTTATCTACTCTCTCTTTCCCGCTACCCCACGAGAAATCTCTTCACCTCTATCGGCCCCAATACACAAATTCTCCGCCCTCACAAACCTTTCTCGCTTTCCAACCTCAACTTCCCGTTCCTCTTTCGCTCTTTCTCAGCTAATCCCATAATGGGCGATCGAATCGTCCAAGAACTTCTTGCTGAAGTGGAGAGGGAGAAGCAGATCGAGAGGGAGGAGCGGAGAAAGAAGGGATTGGAGCCTTTGGACGATGAAAATGAGGATTACATGGGGGTCGGTCCGCTCATAGAAAAGCTGGAGAGAAGGAAGACCAAGGAGCTCGAAAACATCGAACAGTTTTGGGAGCCCACTGATTCCGACAGCGACGAGGACGATGAACGTTATTCCCCGGAGGAGCTACAGAAGAACGCAGATATATTCGAAAAGAAGTGCAAGCGGCACGCTGAGCTGCTCAAGAATTTCGCCGAAGCTGGTATAACATTATTCAACTTAAGCTGGTATCTAGTGTTACTTTGAGCGTGTGGAATCTTGGTTATTGGATATCTAAGTTCCTGTTCTATTTAAGACCGCTCAACGTTGAACATCTTAATGAATGATCTTACTTATTTCCGCAAAAACTTCCTTGTAATTTACTGAATCAGCCATGCTTTGCCTGCTTTTCTCTTTTGGAATGTAACTATTCCGAAAACTATCGGCATTTGCAATTCACGATTAGGGCATTTATACGTTATTGACGATAAATTATTAGAGACATTGGACTTTGTTTTATCTTACTTTTACATGTTCTTAATCCTCTCTAACTAGAAAATGGGCATTCTGTGTTATGGGTTGTTTGCTTCCATTATAAAAATCATCCGCTCTATATTTCTTGCTACAGAAACGCTTGATGATGCACATAAGTGGATGACTAAAATCGACAAATTCGAAGAGAGATATTTGAAATTGCCATTGGAATATAGGGTTATAGGTGATATGATGAACCGTTTGAAGGTATCTACTGGAAAGGAAAGATTCATGCTCCTTCAGAAGCTAAATCGGGCTGTGAAGTTGATGGAAATCAAGGAAGCCTATGACCCAAACAATCCTGCAAACTTTGGACTGATAAAACACCAGCAAGTCGGGTCACCCGATGATGTTGTTGATAGTGCTGGCTTTGAGAAAGAGAGACAAGTGTTTCAAGGTACTGGTCTGGATGAAGATGAAAAAGATTTTAGTGAATCAAAGGAGCAGGATGATGCTTATACGGAGAAACTTAACATCATTGAGAAGAAACTTGAAGAGAAGTTGGCACAGCTTGACCATTCCTTTGGTAAGAAGGGTAGAGTTTTGGAAGAGGAAATTAGAGAGCTGGTTGAGGAGAGAAATGCTTTAACTGAGAAGAAAAGAAGACCTCTCTATCGGAAGGTAATCACAGTATTTTTTTTTTTGCAAATAGGCCGACAGGAATTTTAATATTTTTTATTCCATGTTGAAGATTCCTAAATACAATTAATTTATGTTTTGTTTTGGCCTGACACTTTGTCCTGTTCAGATAAATTTCTCAAGCTTATTCTTAATCCGCAATAAATTTCTTGTATCAAAATAAATGATTGAAGTGAAGTCCATAAACACTTTGCATAAATTTTCACAATCATATTTTTTGGCTCATATGCGTTTCATATAAATTCTACTAACTCTTTAGCGGTTACATCTTTGATTATCTATTTTTTCATGACAAGTCATTTATTTCTACTGGTTATGTTAATGCATCATGGTGACAATGAAACATGCATTTCAATATTTGTGAACCATTTTAATTGAAATAATTTGTGGCCAACATCTTTCTATCTACAATAATCCAACAATTCATGGACAAAAAACTATATACGTCAATTTTTTAATTCGCGGTAACAACTTTCTATCTATAAAATCCAACAATGCATTGACAACTTTTCATCTGCAACAATCTAATAATTTTTGGACAACAATATTTCATTTCTATTATATAATCAATTCTATATTTTGAAATTAAGGATTGGATTCTACCTTTGTTTCTCTCCAAGATTATTGTTTCTACTCGTAGTTATATATAACTTCATATCTTTCATTTTTACAAATAACAGGAGAATAAAATTTAATCATAAAATGTTTCATTTTCAACTCTTCTATTTTTTCCTTTGAATCTTCAGAATAGTATCAAATTATCTTATAACTGTAGAATTAATGATAATAGACATGAGAAATCCAAAAATTTTTTTTGGCATGGAAGTGACAATCAGAATAAGGTATTGTTGTTAGCCAAAGGAATTTTATTCTCAATCAACTTAAAGTAATAGAGCTGCTTGGATGTAAGCCTGCATAAAATCTAATAGACCTAACGAAGAAAATTCAAATCAATAGGTGTCTATGCCTTGTCGGTAAACTTATCTATAACTCACTTGTCCAAATTTTGGGTTTTTTTATTAGCATTGTGAAAAAATGTATGTATAACCCTTTTGAAGCTCATATGGATGGTGCTTATTGTATTCTAATGTACCTCCATATAAAATGTAATCCAACCAATCAATCAAAATTTTTATAGATGCTAATTGGGTTAGAGATATTTCAGACTAGAGACCCTTTTCTGGCTATTTTACTCATGTATGTGCAATATTTCATGTCATGAAGCCATCTTGAAGCTTCATACATGATAGTGATACTTAGTTTTTGGAAAAAAAGCAGTTAAATAGATAGTTAGAAGAACTAAATTATCAAGTGATAAAAATTTCTAAAATTGTACTGTGATTGCTTGGTATCATAAATATTTCAAAAGATCTTTTCCTCCATGAACGGACTATACTCATTGTAATATACCTACACGTTATCTCTGAAAGATTTAAAATGGACAAATCTAATTAAATTTTGTTCCAAACTCTCAGCATCTAGATATATCCTTACCAAGGCTTTATTCAGAATGAGTTTTGATAATATTATTTACATGTTTAACACAAAGAAGATAGATAACCCATTTTGAGAGGGAATGTTGAAATAATCATAAATTTGTGGCCAAAACTTTTCCATCCACGACAATACATCAATCTACAGACAACTATCTATCTACACCAATCTAATAATTCATGTACAATAACGTGATCCAGTCAATTGAGGACAGTAGCTTTTCATCTACGATAATTCAATAGTCTGTGGACATCAACTTTTGATCTACTACGGTTCAACAATTGTGAACAACAGCATTAGTTCTTATCATAGAGGTAATTATGAATTCTAGATTTACAATCTGGTTTCTATTTTTCTTTTTAGAGATAGTTATTTTTCAACCTATTTGTGTATAACTATTCTTTTACATGGAATAATGGAATACGATTTTATTATAAAATTTTTAATTTTCTTCTTTCATCTCTTCTCATTCTAACTTTTATGAATTTCCAAAGTTCTATGCATTGCTATTTCAATTTATGTAAGCAAGTTCCAGTCTAACAGAAGGAATACCTTTATGAGAGGAAGGGTATAGTTTCTTTAAGCTGGCCCAGTAATCTGAAAGTAAAACGAACCTATGATGGAAGGGGAGAGTGGAACAAAGAAGGATTAGGGTGGTAGGATTGTAGCCTGTTTCCTTCTGCGGCTATCTCTTAAGTTATAAGGCATCCATTTACCGTCCACATTCAACCCACGGTAATATGTATGGCTAATTCATAGTTTCCCCATGTCTCGTCTCTATATCTCATCTAATTTTTCAGATGAGAGGCTTGCAACTGATATTTGAAATGAGAATTACATGCTTTTCCTTTTTTCAGTTTTTATTGAAGAGTTCTATTGTTTAAGGTTCCTGTTATTCTTTTTTCTTTGATATGTTTGTCACTGACTTGCAACAAAAATGACACATCTGAAGCATTTTCTTTTTTATGCTGTTTGACATCTTTAAATCTAGTAATAAGTAGTGACAATTTCCATTAGGGATATTTTGCAATGTATTTATTGTTTGATAGGGAACATGGATATACATCTAAACTCTATTGTAGTTTGAGTCTTTGTTATTCTATTTTTTGTTCTGAAAACATTTCTATGAGCAACTTTGAACTGATTAAAGCTCTATTCCTTCTCACTGATTTTTGAATTATCCTTGACAGGGTTTTGATGTAAAGGTAATTGATGTCAATCGGACATGTAAAGTCACTAAGGTAGGCTTCATTCTATTACACGTTATGCTTTTTGATGAAATTTAGTTTGCTAATTAAATCACTTCCATCTTTTACCAAGTTCAGGGTGGTCAAATAGTGAAGTATACGGCACTGTTAGCCACAGGGAACTTCCATGGGGTTATTGGTTTTGCCAAGGCTAAAGGTCCTACGGCTAAAATTGCCATTCAAAAGGTATGCGTCCTTCTAAGAAATCTGCTAGTTAATCTTTCTCGCCGAGTGAATTCATCTTTATTTTTTGAATCTGTTTGGATGATTTTATAGTAAGAAATCTGCTAGTTAATCTTTGGGTGTAAATTATTTGTTATTCTCGCCGAGTGAATTCATCTTTATTTTTTGAATCATCCCAATTATTCTTGATGAACTTTAAAATCCTTCCCTTTTCTTGTCTATCCTATTATATTAGTTGTTTTCTCTGCTTGGTGCATTTTTTTTCAACATAATTTTCTAGCAATGTTACTTTTGGTCCATGTCATCATTTCTTATCCTTCCATATGAATTCTTTCTAACTGCTTTTTTTGTGCATTTTTTTGGCCTTTATTGCATGTGCTCTAATCAATCGAGTTATTTTTTGACTATTTTTTTTTTAAAAGGTATTACACAATTATTTCTTTAATATACTCATTCCTTACTCTTTTCTACGCAATTTTATCAGATATTTGTCCGACATTCTTATTTTTGCCACATATTATTTGGCTTTTAATGGCTTCCTTGTTGCCCAATACTTGATACATATTGCAATGCAAATCTTATTGTATTTTACAAATAACATATTTTATCCCATTAGTTTTTCAAAGCATTTATTCTGATTAATTACTCATCTTTCTCATTAAAATTATGTCTTATGGTATATCTTATTTTTTCTTGCACAATAGATCCACAATATTAAATCTGCCACACTTGTTCATCACATTCTTAATTTGGTTGGATTTTTAGTTTTTCAGTGCTCGAATAATATAATGGTACTTGTCTTATTGCATTCGATAAATCTTATTTTTTTATCCTATAAGACTTCTAAAGCACACATTCATTTAATCATCCTTTTTTAACTTTAGAAAATATTTCTACTATTCTATGACCTAATCTCTTGCATGATAGATCCATGACATTAATTTCATCTCAACATGCATCACCTCATCTGGATTCAAATTTTATTTCTGGTGTCATCAGCCTAGACATATGTAAAAAAATTGGCCCATCTTGAGACAGAGAGCTCTAGTAGAGAATTCAGTTAGTTTTGCACTTTATCAGATGGTTTTTTCCAGACAGAGGATAGTTGAGTCCACAGGCTCAGTATCTAATCAAAATTAGAACCAATAGAATGTTTAACCTAGGGTGTATTCATTATCACAACTAGAAGCTAAGGACTCACGTGAGGTTATTACTAGTATGCTTTATATTTAGAGAAATTTTAGTTGATTTAATATTTGTTTGCATCACAATACATTTAATTCATAAGATCATAAACTCAAAACATTAATTTAAGAAAAATTATGTTTAGCGCTCAATATAATTTTCTTTTTATAATAGCTTAATATCCCTCTAGAGTAGACCAATAATAATATCATTTGATACGAGATCATCTTATTCATTTAATGTCAAAAAGTTAATTAGATTGATAAATATGAATACTATATTAATACTAACAATGTTATTTGTTAAAATGCCAAATCAGTCATATAGAGATTAATCAATTATGTGAGGTAAATTTGAAAGTGAAAGGGATTTTGATGCACAATTGATTGTTTTGCCACTAGTTGAATTGATGCAATCTTAAGTATGGATTGATTATCTCATCATTTCACACCTATAAATTGTAATAAGATGAAATTTAAAATTAATTTACTTGGAGAGATAATTAAATTTTATGGTGGTGGAGGGTTGACATCTATGATAATTACATTTTTGAAAGTTTTGAAATTATTAAAGTATGAAATTCAGGTGAAAAATACTAATAAGGAAGTGAAGTTACTGATTGATAATAAAAAAGGAATATCCAATAAATTTTCTTGATGATTTACTAGGGCTACAACTAGTGAGGGTGATAGACTTCACTAATGAGTTATTATCAGGTTTGGAGCTAATATCCAAAGCACCATATAAAATGACAGTTAAAGAGTTGTATGAATTGTTGGATAAAGGATTTATCAGGCTAAGGGCATCACTTTGGGGAGCTCTAGTGTTATTTGTAAGAAGAGGGATGAGAATTTTAGAATATATATTGATTACAATGAATTGAATAAGTTCACTTCAAAGAATAAATATCCATTGCCGAGAATTGATGACATATTTGATCAGTTGAAAAGGATTTCTATATTTTCAAAAATTGATATGAGATCAGGATATCACTGGTTGAAGATTAAGGAAGTGGATTTAGAAAAGAAAATATTCAGGATTAAATATGGGAATCATGAATTTGTAGTTATATCGTTGGATTGACTAATGCTCAAATAATATTTATGGATCTAATGAAAGAATCTTTAGGAATCTCTAGAATTATTTGTGATAGTTTTATAGATGACATTTTTTGCATTCAAAGGTTGAAAACAATCACTTGGATTAAACAAACTATGATTTTTCCTAGGCATATAATCTTTGGAGAGGGTATATTTGTGGATCAGAATAAAATCAAGACACTTGTAAATTGGCCAAGATCAATTGCAATTATAAAAGTCAGTAGTTTTCTAGATCTTGTTGGCTATTACAAGAGATTTGTGGATTGATTTTCTAAGATTGCTATGCCAATGTCTAGACTAACACAAAAAATAGTAAAATTTGAAAGGATAATGATGAGATATTCTAGAAGCTAAAAATATGTTTAATGACCACCCCAATTTAGATTGTTCCTCCATTGTCGGATGAGTTTCAAATTTATAATGACACATCATAAAGAGATTGGGATGTGTGCTTATGCAACATGAAAATGTCATTGTTTATGCCTCTAGGTAAATAAAGACTCGTGAAAGAAATTATCCTACATATGATTTAGAGTTACCAACAATTGTTTTTGCACTTGAAATTTGGAGGCATTACTTGTATGGGGTCAGATGTGTGTTTACAGATCATTAGAGCTTAACATTTATTTATTTAGAAAGAATTGAATTTGAAATAGATAAGATGACTAGAATTTCTTAAGGACTATGATTTGGATATTCATTACCATCCATGAACGATAAATGTGGTTGCATATGCATTGACCCTGAAGGCTTAAGACAATTCAAATTTGTTGATTACTCAACATGAATATTTAATCAATGTTATCGAAAGAATAAAAATGTCAGCGATTGATTGTAGCGATGATAATATTATTCAGTTAAATCAACTAACAATTTAGTCTACTTTAAAAGGCAAAATTAGAGTTTACTAGCTAGAGATAGTTTTGCTCAGAAGATTTTGGAACAAGTCTAGGTAGATAATTTGGAGAAATAAATTATAGATGGAGATGACTTGTTGAAATATAAAGACATGATGTATGTTCTAAATGTGAATAATTTGAGAAAGGAAATTCTAGAGGAAGCATATTTGTTTGGCTCAATAATATACCATTATCCGATGAGTACTAAAATTTATCCAAAGTTCTCATGAAATTGTAGAAGAATTGAAAATGTAGCTTACTGATTGACTCTACTAACTCACATACAGGAAACACATAATATTATATGTATATATATATATATATATATTTTTTTTTTTCACTTGGGAAGTATATTGTTGATGAATCAAACATTGTTATTACAGATTCATTCAATATACAACTTGGATTTGAAATATATAGTGGAGCCTGTAAGGATAATTGAATTATGATATTAAGAAACTTTGTAATAGAGAAAAGTCATTTTAAAAAATTCTATGGAAGTATGAATCAAAAAAAGATTCCACTTAATAGAAAATGGCAGACATACAAGAGAGATATCCACAATTATTTAGTTAAGGTATTTTTGTTTTCATTGTAATTTTTTAATTTTGAGGTTGGAATTTTTATCAGGGGATATTATAATATTTATGCATTGAAAAAAAAAGAAATCTTGATAGGTCGGTTCAAGCAATCGTCTCGATTGTCCTAATTGGAAAACGAGTGTCTCGATTTAAACCAAAGAAATGATAGAGGCGTGGAAAGAAAGTGATGTAGAGCGAGAGCTGGATATACGTTGGTGGGTGAAGGGATGAAGGAAGAAGGAGAAGAGGCTGCATGTGTCTTGTGCAAGGAAAACAACACCGTTGCTTGCAGTGGAGGTGTGTGGTTGTTGGTGTGTCAAAGGCGGTGTTGGAGACGACGCTGAGTGTGTGCACGAAGGAGAAGAGAAGGGGGATCGCGCAACTCTGCCTATAAGTAGGGCTGTCAAAACAGGTTGTTTTTTGTGAACAGTTCATGGTTGACTCGTTATGAAGCACGTGTTTGATTCGTTTGCCAAGTTAACAAGTCGAACACTAATAATTTTTTTGTGCTCAATATATAAATGATCCGAACATGAACAAAGATTTATTTGTTCGGCTTGTTTTGGCGCAAAATAATTAAAATTTATACACACACACACATGTATATATATAATTGATGAGTAGTATTTTTAAAAAAAATCAAATAAAAATATATTAAAGTATATTTAAATGATGTTTTAATAAAAAAAGTAAGATTTAAATCTCACCCTAACCCTTATACGGTTGCGTGACTGGAGTTATCAAAACAAATCTTTGTTCTCAAACAACTAGTGTTCCGCTCGCTAAGCAAACGAGCCGATTACAAACATTTTTTTTAGGAATATAAACGAGTCGAATATGAACAATAGTTTTTTAACGAGCCGAATACAAGTTGAATTTGTGCTCGCTTGTGTTCGGCTCTTTTACACCTCTACCTATAAGAGAAGTGGTCGATCGACCCTCACATAAAAGTTCTAGAATTTCCCCCTTGCATGTCACTTGTGTAAGGAGACTGTAGGAGCCTCTCAAAATCGTTGTATGCGCCTCGTGTGAAGGTGGCGAGGGAAAGCCAAATTAAGCGGCTTCAATTACACAAACAATGAAGGTCGAACTGAGCTTTATGGTAATTGTTAGTGCTTAAGGTTAATTTATAAATTTTTTATATTTAAATTACGTTAAACTTTATTGTGTGATCCTATTGATTAAAATAAAAAAAAACAAGTGGAAGAATAATTGGATTGGAATTGTTAATTTCAAGC